TGGAAACCTCATTGAAAGCGGTGAGTGTGCAAAGCTGTGTTCAAAGTGATTGAAATCTTGGTTTGGAGTTTCTTTGTTTGGTTATGGAGGCGTCTAGCCGAGTGGATTGCTATCAACTTGACCTTACCAGGCTCTGAAGAAGGCGAAATCCGCCGAAACGTCGGCTTAATCGTGAACAAAGAATAGTAGCACCTCGCGTTTGCTCAACAAAAATACGAAGAAAATCACTTGATCAATGCCGAGGTTAATAGAAAGTCGGTCGTGGCAGCTAAATATCAATGTTATTTTATCACCACTGATAATCTCCTGCTAGAAAAAAATGAAATGATTTTAATGTGGATTGTCACCTACTTACCTTATCAAATGAGTTTTGATGAATCAAAGGAAACTTTGAAGGTACCAGTACAGTTCCTATTTCATTTGACTAACCATTTTACGGATTGGATAAGATTTTCCTTCCTGTTGTGTCAAAAGCCGTATTACGACTTTCCACTTCATCGCTGCTTGCCAACCAATAACTACTTTTTTTCCAAGGTTGCAGTGATTACTAGCACTTACTTACCCTTTAATGAGCTTCCAAATAGAAACATTAAACTTCTAAGCTTGTGATACTTTGTTGGGAAGATAAATCCCTCGTCGTATAGTTGGAAACCCCGAAATATTCTTCAGCCACGATGAGACTCCGAACAAGTGAAAGTACTTGGTGGTGTTGCAGAATTGAAAAGGTTACTGTTAAATATCTTCATCGTGGGTCTTCTTTATGTGACACACACACAAATCGGTCAGCCATAATGTCTATAACCTATGCAAACCCGACCTTGTTTTCTACATGAGGCGCAAGTGGATTTCAAGCGATGAGTTCAATATTTCTGTCGCACTGGATTCACTTATCGCTTTTATCATGAATGCATTAGTAAGAATTGTATCTGGTTCACCAGCACCCAAACATGGTATTCATAACGTTACGCAGCTCAGACAAGGAAAGCAGCTCACGACAATTTTAAAGGATTATCACATGTCGATTTTGTAGAAGCCAGACCAGCCATCCATGACTATAAGCAGTCTTTTAGCATTCGCACCTAATATGACTAGCACAGGGTTCATATTTGTACTTAAACTAGGACGGTTTTTTCCAGAAACTCTTGCCAACTAGATACTAAATTCTATGTCATAGTTAGACTGGAAAAAATAACATGGGTGTTTTTAAGTCTAAAACATTAAAAGTGCCTCATACGAAAGCTTTAATACTTCTTGTCTTCTTTGAGTAAACTAGTACAAACTAGTCGTATTGGGTAGTAATGACTTATGAAGAGAAGATTGTACTGGTGCCTGTTCCAGTAATTCCCTATAGTTAACGGGATTACAGGTAACAGGTGACAAACGACCCAGTCACTTTCACTCAAAGCCACCGAAAGAGCTATTCTTCCAGCTTTTTTCGGAATAGATCTCCCTCATCCTGTATTCTTCTATTTTAAGATATCAGTATTCTGGGTTTTACGGTCATTATGTTTTTTTTACAGAGAGTTGCTGGTTCGGAACTTACTGTCGCAGTCGGAAGGTGCGTTCGTCGTGCGCTACTCGGAGTCTAAGCGTCAGTGTCTAGCGCTGAGCGTTCGTGTTCCGCCCACGCACAATCCGGCTTGCATTTCACACTATTTAATCGTCAGAAATCAAAATGGATATCGAATAAAGGTGGGTATTTTCACTGTCGGTATTTTTTTGAATATTTAACTATTCTGGATCTCGATGATACTGAGATATATGCAAAACTCGGATCCCAGGCTGGATTGGAACCCGTGATTACCCGTTCCGGAGATAGGTAATATGTGGACCCCAGAGGAAGGTAAACACGGTTTCGATCCGGAATGAGGTCCGCGGTGAGGTTTGCAAATATCTCAGCGTTATTATGTTACTTAATAAAATACCCTACCATGAGAAAATAATAGACAATAAATGAAAACTTAGACATTGTTGTGAATATCTTTAATTACTTCTGTTTTTCTCTATTCTTGAATAGGTACATGTTTGAAACAAATTTTTCAATTAGCTCTAAGAGAAAAACTATCGACGGCTCTCCCTGATGCTCTTTTTTTGCGCAAAAGAAAGATATGGGCCACTCTTCTAACACTCACCAACTGACAGTATCGTATTAGCATGACAATTGCATATCGAGCGTATCTATTAAAGCAGTCGACCAGCTACAGTACACCTCTTTATGTTTTGCATACGGTCACATCCAAACACTTCATTATTCGTTATCGCGTCATATTTAGAGTGGAGTCTGTTATGATGTCACTACCGTAGTCTAATAATGCTGCATAGTCGACAGTAATGCGCCACAATCGCCAAAACCTAAGTTTCTAACTTCACGAGTCAAACATTTGGTTTATTTAGCTTGAAATGCTTAGAAAATGGGCAATTGTATTTAGTGGTTTATTGTACAAAGCGAGATGAGAACAAAAGAAGAGGAAACTAGTAAGAGAATGCAATCACGTTGCAGTTATTTTTTTTCAGAGTTGTGATAAGCATTTTCCTTCGCTTCAAATGCTGATCACCCATCATTCTGTGATGCCGGAAAAGTTGCCAGTGACGTTGACGTTTGTGCAATGGAACGCCAGCGACTGGACGGAGAGGATCGACGACGTGCCTCCAACACCACCTCTGTTGACATCAGAGAAGCGTCATTCCTATATTACACCTCATCGGAAGCACTTGGAAATCGACGAGAACCGGAACTCTAAGTAGGTTCATTAATCGAAATGTAGACGGTGAAGTTAGGCCTATAACACTTACTTACTTGATACTTGAACGGCCCAGCCTCACTTGTTGTGCGGGCCCCAGCATTATCACCATTTTTCGGAGATTTGCTGGCTAAGCCGCCGTGGTTCCTTGGAATCCCGAAGACAGCCTAACCAAAGTCTGCCCCATAGGCCTATAATAAAACAGAATACCACAGTAGTTCTCAAAAGAATTCCTGTGTGAGAAATTACAGTTGTCATTCATACTAGCTCTTTTCTTGAAGATGTAAGGCAGAGGCCTATCGGCTTGTTTTTCTTTAAAGTGGCAGGTAGTGGTTTCGCAAATTTTCGTCCAGTTTCCCACTTTTCCTAAGCTTCCATTAACTCAGATCCTTTCTTTATCTACATACTGCCTTCTTATAAAGAAATCGCTTCTAGAATGCTCCACCTAGGATGAGGTTTTGCCTACATAGCATAGACACAATCATCAAAAGGAATTAATAAAGAAAGCGGCTAAAGAGATAATAAGCTGTTTGAAATCTTGTTATTCAACGGAGTTATTCATTAGTCGGCTTAAGACAAGATTCTTGAATGGTTTCCAATCTCAGGCTACAATAATCATGTTTGGTTTAGAGGATTGGTGAACTGGTTTATTTCAGATTCTATAGCAGTCAAGAGCATCGGATCGAAGACTTCGTTACACCAAAAAGGCGATCACGCGTCTATCTTGAGAGCTATCGACACTCGCGATTCATCGATATCGCCTAGGGATTGCCGACAACCATCTACCGCCAATCAAACAGGATGTTATCGTTGTCACTTCTATCGATGTTGTTTAGCAGCGATGCTGTGGTGCTACCACGTTCTGTTTCGTCTGAGCAGTCCATCATCCATCCCGCTTTTCAATGTAGAGCTTCATCGATTCGGCGTTTTGGACATCAAGCTCAAACTCCTAGCAACCTGACCTATGGACATTTTCGAAACAACTAGTGCTTTGTGTCTGTGCAAGAACTCTGTGACTTTAGTCCGGTGTCTCAATATTGAAAAGAGTCCTAATTTTTTCGCCGTACTCACAATTTCCTTCAGTTCTTATTGAGACGATGAAAGAAACAAATGTTTGCCTAACTGAAGCCATAGCTAAATTATAAAGTACTGCCGTCTAATTTATGTACATAGCTTAACCAGAATAAATTAGTTCACGTTCAGTCGTTCCACGTTTTCCATCTTCTTCTTACATTTCTTCTCCATTGTAAATCGTTTAATTACGTCGAAAAAAATGACTTAGAAGCTCAGAATATTGAAGATCTTATGGAAATGGAATGATCAGCGATCGGAGCTCAAGCGATCTGTGTGCCGTATGTGAACATAGCTGGACACCCGTTCGTGATAGATAGGCAATTGGTGGATCAATGCAGAACTTTGCACATTGTTTTAATTATTGCTCTACAATGACATTTTTTAACACCTTCCTGACTATTTTTTTCACCAGTTGTTACCTAAAAATGATTTCAATGTTCATATCACTTCTTTCTATGTCGAAACTTCTCCCACTGATCTCATCAGGGTTGGTTATGAAAGTGAATGGAGAAGAGCTTCAGAGAATCGATGTACAAGAACATTCACGAGACGGAAATCGATCCATTTAAACTGAACTCGGACAGTCGAAAGAATCATTCAGCGTGATAAACAGAACGTAAGCCTGCTTCCTTGGTGGGAGCTGTTAACCGCAGAGCCTTCTCAAGACATTACGGCACTTCTCGTTGATATCACCTAACTAATAAAAACTGCAATACTAGAGCTCTGTAAACTAGTAAAATAAGGTCAAAAATAGGTTCAACAAATAAAACAGTTAAAGCGAAAGTGAAATGGGAGAAATAAACAATGGACTATTGATTAAACCTGAAGAGTAAAAGTTGGAACTTAAGTACAAGGATTTCTAACTCATGGATAGAACAAGTGACTACCAGAGCAAGTCATAGCAAGTAATATTTAGTTTATCGCGTAAATATATAATTTGATGTAAGCGCAAATAGGTTCCACCGGAAAGGAGTAGCGGATGAAAACATTAAGTGATTTTTTCTTTGACATAGCATGAAATCAGGGAGTGGGCAGTTCTGGAAGATTTTCTGTGTAATAAAATCATATTGTGAACACCTGACAGAGAAGCATAATTTTAATTCTCAAAAGAAAAATTAAAAAATTTTTGGTCTGTTGGCAATGAGAACTGAGATCGCTACAGCTGTACCTATGGCGACTACGACGAAAATCATCAGAAGAAGCAGTTGCACGGCTCGTATCTGGAAGCATTAAATGAAGGCGGATAAATCCGATTTACTTTAAGACTGGAAAACATGCTTTAGAGAAAAATAAGGAAAAATATGAGGTAAAATTTCGGTTTTTTCTTTCTTTTTCCTTTTCCTTTTTTCCCTTTTTCCAAATTCCTGAACACCTAATTCGACAGATATTCGCCACGCCACTACATTTGACGACTTTCTCCCTTCCTGTTGTGGTTCTTGGACCATAGTCCGATAGCCGCTTCCAGGCTATGAACGTATGTGACTCATTCTAACCTCGGCGTTGCCTTGTTTTGAGGTTTCTACTGGAGAGGAAGTTCTAGTATCTATGAGGTTCATGTATGAGGTTACACTGCGTAGTGGAAATATCGAATGATAGCAACTGCCATACTTCTATTTTTTTATTTTATCATTTTATATGACCCGCCTTCACATCTACCGTGGGGATCCCAGCACTTCTCACGTTCGATTCGTTTCCTCTCGTCCATTGTCCACGATGATTTTCAACTTTACGTGTGGATTCGCTTGCTGCTTGATAATTTTCATTTCACCTCGAATGTCGTAGAATGCTGGTCGAGCAATTTTTCCTGGAGTCCTGAGATAGCCCGGGGCTGGAGCGTTCCCAACTGGATTGCGTAGAGTGATTTTTCACAAACAACTCTGGCACCAGTCTCCCGACCTCGGAGGGATGGAAGGCGCGGTGAACCTAGGCGGCGGGGGTCGATCGTATCTATATTGTAGGGTGCCTCTGATCACTGCGCTACACGCACCCTGTAATCATAATAGATAAAGCAACAAAGGATAAAGTTCATCGGTTTATTAAGCATCGTTAAAGGTGATTGAAAGAATCTGGCCTGTAGCAATGACTTGTGGTGAATTACCGAAATATGAAGCTATTGCAGCCTCCCGGATAAGTCTAGTACAGATCTGCGAACTCTGGCAGAATTAAAAGCTTAGTGTGCTTTGGGGCATAGGATCGAAGCAGAGATCACGTGTGCATTGCAGGGAATCTTCACCATTGCTCTACACGCGTCCGTTGCCGTAGAATCGGAAAGAATTTCTTATCGATCTGCTAGGAAGTTTAAAACGCAGTGAGTTATTTCGAAATGAAGACTAGTTTGGGAATCAAACTCCTCATCATTTGGAGTAACACGCTCCCAAAGATAACTCTCATAGCAATTGAATAGAAAACGTGAAGGGTTTAAATCACTTCTTAAACCGATGGATTCCATTTCCTACTGGATAAGGCGTAAATGAAGATCACTGGCTAACCGTGATGTACTTCTGGGCAACATTCTGCCCTCGAGAAGAAAATTTAAACCGAGCTAGCCGAAAAAAAAACAGGTGACTCACCAGAAACAAACGATTAAAATCGCCGTCAACTATGACGAGAATGCGACAAAAAATTACTCATTAAATCTATGTTTTACTTAACCCGTCTTCACACCAATTATGCGAATCCCAGCACATCCTGTGTTCAAATCAGTTCCTCGTATACTTCGCCCACAGAGGTATTTGTATTTGTTACTTTCCGCTTGTGGGTTTCGCTGCTGCTTAGGGATTGTCTTCTTCTTAATGAATATCTCTGCATTCTGGTTGAGCCGATTGCCCCTGGAGTCTTGGCGTAGTCGAGTTAGAGCGATCCTATTGGATTACAGGGAATAAACTGTTTTCAAACTAGTTTGAACCAAATTCTTTAATCTGAAGGAATGAAGGGCTTGCTAAGGCCAATACGGAGTCGATACAAAACCGAGCTATTGTCGAACGAGATCACTACCACTGCGCTATCCACTTCCTAAAGTTACTCATTGCTGACTTAAAAGTCTTTTTTGAATTTTTAATTTTTAAACTTTCTAAAACTTTTAAAAGCTCCTCCGTCTGTGGAGGGGGGATTGATAGCTTTGTTTTCTGCACCTTCTTGCTTTTAAAATCTATTTGGTAAAGCACTGTGAAGCACAAATCAGTCATCGTCACCAGCAGAGTAGTTCTTATTTCTATAGAACTTCTCATATGGTCGTCATGACTCATCTCGTCTTGCTCTTTGCTGTCTTCCATGATTCGTTCAAGGAGGTAGACGGTATTGTGCGTCAGTTAGGGTACAGGTCGAAGAACAGCCGTCATTTAATTACACCGAAATGTTCAGCCCTAGTTAGGTGCGGTTAATCACGAGAGAGCCGTGTTAGAGCGCTTCCCAGCTCAGTTTTGCGACTAAAATTCTTCGAATAAAGCCATGATGACAATTGGACGACGAAATGATCAACGAAAATGAAACAGGCCGAATGCATAACCGAACTGTTTTCCCTATTATTAACTGTGAATACAACTAAGTCACAGGAAAAAGCATCTCACCTTCATGATCTCATTCCGATTAACGATAGAGTCGTTTCCACCAACATGTGTCATTTCGATCTCGCTAGTGACGCAGTCTCGATTCATCCACCAACCTTGAAATTTTTTTTGATGAGTAATGAAAGAATCAACAACGCTTTTTTAGGCCAAGGTCGTGCTTACTTCCTTCGATTGTTGTAGAACCCATTTTATTACTAACAATTTAAGTCAATGTGTTACATGAGAGTATAATTACTTCTTTAAATATTTGACTGCAAATCAGCTCTTCGTCTTCACGAATTGTGAGAAAACCAACGGAAATATTTAAAAAGTCATTTTTTGAGTGGCCTGAGGCAGAACAGCTACAGTAATCACAAATCGCTGTCGATCCTATCTAGGTAAAGAGATTTTTATTAAGGTAATTGAAGAAATTTCGCACGCGTTACTATTTTCTGGGATATGGGATCTTTTTACAGATGAAACAAACAACGTAGGGGCCGATGCTTCAGGTAAAGTTCGTAATCAATCACGAGGCAAGTCGTTTTGTAGAGGATTCTATTTCAGTGCTCAATACTAGACCATGTTTCTGTTATGTATCCTTCTCTTGCTTTTACCTAGTTCTTTCTTTCGCCTATTGAGACCGAAATTGATAATTTCCATAGAAGAAGAAAGTTGTTGAACAAAGTGATTGAACCTGAAAGCCCCGCAAACTTGTCGTCGGATTCAAAACAAGTCAATCGATATGGTGTCGCCTAAAAACCAACTCGAGAATACCGCAAAATTCTAACCAAAGCTTCTTTTTTTATGCTCGAATACTGTTCATTCACTAAGTTAAGAGTGCTGCTAAGAAAAGGCCTAAGACAGCCTGGTCGAAACGATTTCATCACCAGACACAAATATGAAAAAGGCACAATCGAGTTACTCCTCAGAATGTTCCGTTTACGTTCACTTCTACAACCAAGAACTTTAGACCCCTCTGACCCAGCCTTTAAAACCACTGTCGCAACAGTGTAGGTAAACATTACCAAGAGTTAATTTACTCATACCTTTTGTCTTTATCATGAAAATCAGCCTCGCAAACCGCCTCAAAGCCTTATTTGTGAAGTTTGAATGTTATCAAAAACATGAAACCGCGCAGTGGTTCCATGATCGCACAGCGCCGCAATCACTTCATTTTAGTCTAAAAGCTACGAACTATTTTAACTTATTATTTACTGTCTACTCTTTTTAATCGCAAGACTGTGTTGCAAAATATAACTTCAGTGATGTTGAAATATTTGCAAAACTTCGGATCGCAGGTATCTGCGGTGGAGAACAAACGCGCCATTACCCTTTTTGTAGACTAACACGTTCACCATCGGAAAGGGTAATAGCGCGTTCGTTCCCACCACAGACACCTGCAGTCCGAAATTTTGCAAATATCTCACATCAGTGAAGTTATGAACCATGTTTTCATTTTTCAAGATTTCACAACATGCTTCTACTACAAGAGGATGTGAAAGTAAATGTGGATTATTGGATATAGTCATTTTACCTATGAATCTCTATCCATTGAGTGAGGTACTATTTGATGATTCCGCATAAAATCATTTTTTAACGATTGCTGAGCATTTGCACCATCTGGCAGAGGCCACCAATAAGCCAAAGAATTCAAGAGCATTTGGTTGTCAATGTCAAAGACTTCAACGGAGAACTCCTACGAAACTCTCATTTTGGCAATAGTACTGTTAAATTTCCGAAAACTACCAATTCTAGGACGTTGATTAAAGTCGAGGAAAACAGAAAAGCAGAGGCGAGTGCAAAAATACCGGCACAAAAAGATTCAATGAAGAAGATCACTGATTGAATGAAAAAGAAAAACACAGATGAATGACAAAATGAATGAATGACTCACGAAACACATCAGGGACTTATTGCTGAATTTCAGAGAGACCTTCACCAAATGAACCATTTTGACACAACAACTTTTCTGGATAATATAATGTTCTATTTATATCCATGAAAAGATCGACGTCTGCCTTCGAAAACGAAGCTAATCACTCAACTGTTTGCCAAATATTTAATCTTAACGACCATGCAGACTACACAACTATTTAACTAGGAACTCGGATGACAATGTGTGAAGCACTCCTCAACAACAGTTCGACAGTAGCTGTGTTAATTGACGGTAAAAGAGAGCAATTAATGAGTGCTTATCATACACATTAGGGTGCGTATAGAGTAAAGAGTGATCACTGGTCCCATCTCGCCACCTAATCTCATCAAGACTTCCAACCAACCGGTGTCAGCTAGCAAGTTGACACCACCTTGTCTAGGAGGATAGCAGGACTTACTTGGGATATTGATAGACCGTGATAAATAATTGTTTAGGCCAGATATGCATTCATTCAGCGCTTCGATGCTTGATGAAATCAAATGCATGGCGTGTACCTCAGACAGCGATCAAGGCGAGCGCTTCATTCTTTGTCCTTTATCTACTCACATCAGCTAGCTGCATCAGTACTACATTTTGTTTCTGGATAAGACGTCGGATGTTCGATATGTTACGAGTCATGAAGCTGAATGTCACCTGTGGAAAAATGATCCAGTGGAATTGAACGAATGTGAACTGTTCTGAGGCATTCACAATTCGCAACATTTGCCGTCCATATATTCAAGTAAGTAATCAACTTGATGTGGTTTTAAATAATTTTTCGAGTATTAAAAACATCTAAATAAAAATAAAGTCGTTTTTCTAATAATTTGCGGAAAAATTTGTTTACTTTTAAACGTCAGTATCTCCATGGTGATAACGGTAAGACCAGTTACGACAATGAACGCAATGTAGATACCAAGAGCGGCATCACGATTACTAAACATTCCTGCGAAGTGCACGACTGAAATCATTGTCGCCGAGGCTGAAAGATCCATTGCTAGGCAAATTCCTGAATAAGGAAGAAAAAAAATCATTGAACGAGTGTCCGTCAGGATTCACCGGCGAACCACCTAGCATGCGCTAATACTGGGATTTTGCGTTTAAATGATTGGTATTTTGCTAGCACTGCAGCTTTTTTTTTCGTTGTCAGGAGCCCAAGAAAACCATGCTAAAGTTTTTCCTGATAATTTTAACCTTTTATTTACTGCCTACTATAATTTTTCACGCTAGGGTACGACGTGAATTACAGCCACAACGTTGCTGAGATATTCGTAAAACTTGGACCCTGGGCCAGATCGAACCACGACTACCCTTTTCAGGGGCTCGCGCATTACACACTGCACCATGGAAGCCTTTGCTTTGGGTTTCTCTCAGGTAGTTTTCTACTTAACGCTGCCATCAGCGATCACCCGTCAGCGGGTTAACATTGTAATTTCGAGTACGGCCTCAGCTTAACTGAATTCAATTCCAATTTATGCTCCCTAGATCAATTGTGCTGACTGGTGATCGCTAATGGCAGCGTTAGGTGGAAAGCTAGCCGAGAGAAACGCAAAACAAAGGCTTCTGTGGTGCAGTGTGCAACACGCGAGCCCCCGCAAAGGGTAATCGTGGTTTGATCTGGCCCGGAGTCCAAGTTTTGCGAATATCTCAGCATCGTTCTGATTTTTCCTGATAAATTTGATAAATCCTTGCCAATCCCTATGGAGTGAAGGAAGATGAAATGATTTCTCTCAGTAGCAGATACTTTGTCCACTCTGTCCACTCTTCCAAATGGAGATGTCTAATAGGCAGCCAATGTGGCCATAGTGGCAAGGCATCTATGTTGCTGTTCAATGCCTTAGAACATCCTTTTGTCATGATAAGACAGCTAACCTTTGAACTGAACTGTAATATATTTTTGCATGATCCGTTACCACATCTACTGTGCAAATCCCAAAACTTTACGCACGTTTTCTCACGTTTCTCGTTCTTTTTTCACGGATTGCATCACTAACCACTCCCTCTGTAATGTTTAATTGGATTAAATGAGCCAAAAAATCGGCCCAATGGCTCACCAAAGCAGTACTAACTGGCAGGCTATGATTGGGCTCCGAGCTGCAATGCGCAGCGACGATTTACCTTCCAGCAGGTTCTTCCACGCTGAGAATGAGTTCGACCATTCCACAAGGAAGGATCGTTGACTGGTGTGACTAGGAGTAAAGAGAGCAGCATGTTGTGCAATAGTAAGAGTTGTACTACAACACAGACTCAGTATTTGTTTTGGAACATCGCTCACTAGAGCCCAGGCTTTCTATCTTAGCGATTTCAGAAAAATAGTATCAGAAGAAGTATAAGCAACAATGACTTAATACATCAGTAGATCGTGGCCATTTTGCAAGCTATTGCGTAGCCCAAAAATGCATTCAGTCATCTCTATTATGCCACGAATAGATTCGGATGTATGGCGCAACCCATAGGAAAGGATCAACGCCGAACACTCGATTTATCCATTTAAGGAGTAAACTGGGTAGTGTGCAGCGCAGTGATTAGAAGTGCCTTGTAAAACCATAAGTATGATCCAGCACGCTAGGCTCAGCAACCTTCCATTCTTCTGAGATCCGTAAACTGGTACCAGAGCTGTCTGGAAGGATAGCAGCCCTGAATCGATACATCGGTAGGATCCCGCGAGCCACTATATAGCCCATATATGGTTTCAATCATCTCCAGTGACGCTTGATGTAGCCAAATGCATGCCGCATCCCTCAAGGATTGACAAACGCCGAAAGGTTCATCCTTTACCTTTATGAGTAAACTAGAAATCATGGCCATCCTTCTAAACAAGGTTATCAGGTAGCAAGTATCGATGACCCCTGAAAGCATCAAAACGGCTTTCGAGACTCCAGAGAAAGGAAATCTCGCCTAGCTTGCAAATTTTCCACCCTGATTCTTCGCGATTCATGAAGAAACGGTATGTCAGTAAAAAAGCATCCGAGAAAGCACTGCAACTGCATTCCAGTGAAATAACTATAAAATAAATAAAGGATATTTTATCCACTATTATGAAAGAATGCAATTCACCTGCACACAGCCATGCTCCAAAACCCAGGAAACCGTGAATCCAATTGAAGATAAACCTCCCTTTCTCTTCCGGATGACATCTATAAGAAAGTTATCAAGGCAAAAATTTCACAAACGTCCTTGTTCGTTTATAACTAGCCTTATGGCTCACTGAAAATTGCTGTTATTATGAATGAGCAGTAATTTTACATCCTTCTCTATTTTATAGGCACTTGTTACACAGCGGTTAGAATTCCCATGTAGTACACATGAACCCAATCTTATGCCCCGGCTCACAAAGCCGTCCAACCCTTTAGGATCGCCAAATTGGTGCTAAGCATGTCTGGGAGGATAGTAGCACTGATTTGATACGTCGATACACCACCGCCAACTCTTGTATAGACCAAATTTGTATTCAATCACTTCTAATGCTTAATGAAATCGAATGCATGGCACATCCTTCAGAGCTTGATCAACTACGACAGCTTTTAGAGTTTTACTTCTATTTCATTTTGTGAATATTTCTTTCATTTCTCTCAACCGTTTTATTAATATATAGCCATATATCCATGTCGATAGTAAACGCAAAAATCTACCCTCATTATTACAATATCTCTTCTAGACTCACTGAAAGCAGCGTGTAATGTAAGCCAACATAGCTTGTGTCAAGAATCCATGACAGCCTCCACACTAAATCGATCGATTTAGTGGATTTAATAGATGGCCTAGCCAATCGGATCGACCATAAATGGACCTCTCTCGAGTCTTGCATATCCCACCCGTTGCTTTTATGTTGAGAAAGAATTTTCGGCATAATTGGCGAACGATGAGCACTATAGCGGACATAGAAACCGGTGCCTGCTATGCTCTAGGCGCACATTTATCCAAGGAATGTACCTCATATTTTGTTCACCGGAAATCAGAAGCAGTCATTGAAAAACGGGCAAAAGCATAACTTCACGACTGAGCAGACAGATGTTCTCTTCCAAAGTAGAGACTCTAATCTACGCTCGCACTCCTCATGGAGATCGCCACCCTCTCTCGTGTTCATCGATAGAGCGAGTCTATTATGCTCCCTCCGGCAAATCAGCATGATGTTTTAAGCCTCATATTTTAGACACTGTGTCATCATGGTGATTCAACCGACGACGTCACCACTTCTGTTTTACAGAATTTGCAAAAGTGTAGGGACATATGAGAACACCATCTGAATGCGGCTGATTGTTGTCACTTGCGCTGCGTCAAAAAAGTAGTTAAGTAGTTTTCATCAAGTCGCGAAATGCACCACTTCAATTGCTACCTCAACACTGTAGGCCTCCATTCCTCAGTAAACATAAAACCTGTTACCCTGTCACCCTTAATATTGTTAATAGTCGAACTGACTCAACAGGTATCATTAAACCCTTCGTATATGTTCTCTACGACCTAGAGCATCCTGATTGCTCTACAAATACAGTTTCTGGATGACGATTTTTATTTTCACTGTTAATCGTGAGAGGATACCCGTGGAAGAGGTGTAATGCAAGCTGTACTTCTGAGTGAAAATATTGTTTTTCCGTCTTCGTATAGCGTAGTAGTTAGAGGTATACTGCAATACACACTGGATCGATGGGTGCTATGGTACCGTGCATCAAGTTCACTAATCTCTCAATCCTTTGTAGTCGTTAAAATGGAACCAGACATTTTCGGAAGGATGGTAACTCTAAGCTGACACATTAGTAGGCGACCGCAGGTCATCGGTACTAAAGCAGATATGCATTCATTCACCTTCATTATGCTGGATGTGGTTCAATTCATGCTACATTTCACAGTAGTTGATCAAAGTCTAGCGCATTGTTTTTAGTTCAAACTTTTTTATCCGTCCACGCTTGGGTGACCCTGGTTGGTGATGAATTCTCGATGGACAACTTACATTCAAGAACATTTCTCTACCAATAACAGATGAGGAAGTAAGAAACTGGAAAAACAAAAATATTATTAACATTAATATTTCCTGCAATTGTTAAATGTGTCCAACCTGAACACAGCATTAAGAGGCTGCGCCCATGCAACCACACATGCGACCAGTCCCAACATGGCATGAACGGATCCCCATTGCCTATTCTGAAATGACGAAATCAACATGAATGAAACAAAAGTAAACGTCGTAGCAGTTTTTTTTGGTACAAGTAGTCTTTGTATAGTTGAGAACAGAAACTTTTCAAAAACGTCACCAGCACTGCTGACTGATTTGCTTTCGGTCCAACCCATTGCCAATCCTTCGCCACGAACACCACGACAAATCCGGCGATTGTGCCAGCGATTCCGATCATGTTTAAGGTTCGATGAAACTAAAATTTGAGAGAAAGCTGAAAAGTATTTTCTTCTTTTAGGTATAAAGATATTTTTGATGAAGTGATTTCAAGGACCTCCCAACGGTTTACGGCCTCATCGTGGCTGGGAGGTGTTCCCGGGTGTCGGACTGCGATGTACGGCCTGGCACTCAAACCCTAGCAGGGTCTCCCAAGGTGAGAAGAAGTCCGACGTTTCCATCAGGAAGCCTAGCTAAGAGTACACCAATACCAGGATTCACCACCGTCCTGGTGTCAAAGTCGCATGGTTGCAGATCATATCTTCCTACGATCCACAAGGCCTGCGACTGTCTGTGGTGGTGAAGACCTGGGGCAGACTTTAGCCAGTCTGACCTCGGGAGTGCAGGGAACCATAACGGCTTAACCAGCAGATCTCCGAAAAATAGAGATTATGTTGGGTTCTGCACAATCAGTGAGGACGGGCCATTCAAAAAGTAAGTAAGATTTCAAGGACGAGACTACTAGGTGACCTCTAAGCGTTTTGCTCGTTTCCTTTAAAACATCACTTCAATCAGTTCAGATTAGTAATCGCTTAAAAGAGGGCAGAAGGTTTCTCAATTGTTGAGCGCCCCACATAATTTTGAAAACGGAATTTCTACAAATTCTGCTGTATTTCGTTACTTTTCACAAAGCAGACATAGCAGAGCCGTTTTATAGCGTTTATTACATGAACTGGACTTTATCTGGTCACTTGGACGCCTAGTCTTATGAGAGCTCGCCAGAAATCCAGGCGGTTATATGGTTCACCTCAAAGCGCAAAAAAATGAGTGTCCTATGCAGCTTCCACAAGAATACGGGTCGTTGCGGTGTTTCCTAGGTTCCGGTAAGGATACAGTGTCAGAGATAGAGTAGAAGCGCCTGCATTGAAATTGCTGACGGCACTGACTTTTTCATGGAAGATCGAACTCTATTAATGAATGCATGGAGACGCCTATAAGAGCTTCATCAAAGCTTTTTAGAAATTCTCCACCTCTGGTAAAACCAACGACGTGTTTGTCGCAGGAAGCGCTATACTTCATGGTCCGTTCTCTTTTTCGATAGGAGAAGAAAGTACTAAATAAAAGTTTCAATGAGATAGCTTTTACTTATTGACCAATTTTTTCCACGGCAGGGTGTTACGTGAAGTACAATCACAATGATGTTGAGATAGAGCAAAACTCGGAACTCTAGATGTGCTTCGAACCCGTAATTACTCATTCCAGTGCTCACACGTTAACAACCATACAGGCCGAAGCCTTTGCTTCTCTTTTCACTCGGCCAGTTTTTTTTAACTTAACGGTGCTATCAGCAATTTAAAAATTTTTTAAAGAAGACGTACATGAAACCATAGCTTTACACCACAGTACACGCTGTTGGGAAAATGTTCTTTCATGTGACGAGCGAAAAGAATAGCAGTTCCGATAAAAATCGACCACGCAAGAATCATAAGAATTCCTGAAATTTCAGAGCTAATAGTCATCCAATAAATCATCTCAATGATTAAAATTGGACCAGGAAGGTGTTTTCGAGTTTATTTTTGAGATGGAATAAAAAATGACGAAAATATAATGACTAGTGGATTCATTCAATAGTAGTTAGAAAAACAGCAATTTTTACTTACTATAATGGATTTTATCGTAATATTATTGCTAATAGAGAGCGGATAGCACAGTGGTAGTGACGTCCGTTATCGCGAACATGAAGCTACTTCGATTCCACTCCGGGCCAACCAAGCCTCTCATCCCTCTGGGGTAGGGAAATTGGTACCGGACTTGTCTGGGAAGAAAAATCGACCTCTGCAATCCAGTTGGAAGCGCTACAGCCCAGCTATGCCAGGACTCTAATGAGAATTGCTCGACCAGCATTCTACGACATTCAAGATGAAATGAAGATCCTCAAGCAGCAACCGAAGTCACACGTAAAGTTGGAAGATTTTCGTGGGACAATGGATGCGAAGAAACGAATCGAACGTGAGAAGTGCTGGGATCCGCACAGTAGACGTGAAGACGGGTCATAATGAAAAAGTTGTTGATGGTTTTCAAGTCCTGGCTACTAAATCGACATTCATTCTCATGTGGCGCTATTTCATTACTTTCTGAAGAGTTTGATTAAAAAGTAATATGACATCATATACCATTTAATATCATGGGTGTCTGTATTACTCGAGAAAACTTTCCCGGAATTTTTTTAGAACATTTCTCATCTAAGCGCTTTCCATCTGAAACCGACTTACCGTGTGCGATCATAAGCTTATCGTGCGACGATCGACCCCCATCATCAAGTACTTGTTCTGGAAAACTCAGTACTCGTTTTTTATGCGGCAAATTGCAGGACAAACTTTTCTTTCATGTCAGTATTCGTCAACAAATCACCGTTTTTCTTGAGAAGCAAAGATAAGGTCGGTATTACACCATTTATTAATGCACAATAGCCGATGTTTCAGCGGTTTCACCTTCTTCAGAACCTGGGAAGGTCAAATTAGCATGTAATCTACTCGTCCGAACACTTTCATAATCTCAGCAGACAAATATTAACACATGAATTTCCAGTCCGCATAACAATCAACTTCTTTTAGACACTCATCGTTTTGTTCTTTGCAAGTTTTCCAATTATTTGGTGGAGACCAGCTTCATAGTCTCTTACGTGAGCGAGGTGTGTGCCTAGCTCAGGTCAGAGATCTTCCCCGAGGTATGACGCGCGGTCACGCGTGATCGCAAGACGCCCTTCCTTGAGGTTCATTTCTGGATTTTTGGAACTAATCCAAAACGCTTCAAGAGCACTACGCGCCTATGACTTGGATTCCTGTGCGAAAATAGTAACTTTCAGTCCAAAATCTTCTCCGCTATGTCTCTGTTCACCGTGGGTGTCTACCGGAGTATTTGATTTAGCATTAAATTTAGCGATTCGGTGTTCTTTTTCACGAACGCAGAGTTGTCTATCCATTTCTCCAGTGCATTCCTCCCGCACCTTTTACCTGAGATCACATAAACCGTATCGGAACTGATGCAATCACTTTCTCTACCGTTGAAGAATATTGTTTAATTTTGTGTTCTGCATTGTGCATAGGCTGTCGCATATGCGGCTAGGAACTAGCTGGTTTCCTGGAGTGTTCGGTGGAATTTCAAACACTGTTGCCGAAACTCTCTAGACAGGAATTTTTCTAGCAACGTTTTATGGCCGCACTTATTTCATTAGAAGTGAACGGTAGAATAAACAGAACCATATTCGCAGTAAATACATCGCTTCGTGGAGTGGTTTCACCGTACATCTATCCAAGGAGCTATAGTTTCGTAGCCATTGAAAACGGCAATCTGCTATTCCAATTTCAAGGACCATTTCTTCTGTTCTCTTCCTGTACGAACATTGGAATGCTCGAAACATGTTCATTAGAAGCGCCTTTTTTGTGCACAATGTTGGAAGGAGGCGGAGTGGACCAGAATACTCTTGTTACTTAGCGTTCGGTACCGTTTGGTGACATGTTGATTTTCGAAGACGTTAATCTGAACGTTCAGAGGTGGAAGGCAGTTTCCATTCGTCTTCTCTCGGGTAAGCTTAGTGCTCTTTGATTGTTCATTCAACAACTCAGAAACTTTGAGTTACAAAGAACAAAACAGTTAGTTAAAACAGTTACTGGTTAAAATGCGGCTGAGAGAAAGGCGAAACGGAGGACGCGCATGGTGTGGTGGTGAGCACGTTAGCACCCGAAAAAGGTAAAAGCGGGTTCGTTTCCCACCGCAGACACCTGCGGTCCGGAGTTTTGCAAATATCTCAGCACCATTATTATGGTTATATTTAACATCACACCTTGCCATGAAAAAGTAATAGACACTGAATAAAAAGTGATTACATTGTGAAAGCAGTTAGTGTTTAAAAGAAGCTACTTATGCGAATGAAATTCATGTGTTAAGTTTTGTCCGCTGGGTTGTGAAATTGCTTGGCTGAGTGAATTGCACGACAAATTGTCCCTTCCAGTGAGTGAATAGATAGTGTAACAACAACCTCTTGTTTACACTTTAGGAAAACAGTAAAATGGTCTTTTTTATTATAAAAAAACAATTTGTTAACTAAATCTTAAGGCTTTTTCAAACACAAAATGATCGCTAGAGCAACCAATTACAGTCACACATCACGACAACACCTTTGCTTCCATTTCTATTTCTGTACATAATTCTATTTAAACAGTCACTGCAGAAATATCAATAAGCAATTATGAAGAAAATTAGAAAATAGCTTAAAATCTTCCACAAAATCCGGCCATCGATCGATATCGATTGGTCGTTGGTGTCACTTGTCACCCACCCGTTGTTATCGAGCCCTTTCCTTTAACAAACGCTGGTAACGACACCCTTGGCAAAACGTATCGATTGGTTTGATGGTATGATAAGCCTGAAAACAGTTCGATCTGCCTAATCGAATCTTCGTGGGCACTGCAGGGAGCTAAATTTCGAACAGAAAATTCAATAATCAAACACTAACGATTGCCATCTACGGGTCCGGCTGCAAGCAGTATTTGGTAGGTGCTGTTCAAGTTGTACAAATTGCTTTGATTCGGATCAAGTCGTTGACTAAACATTTAAGCTAATCACTCTATTATTTCGCATAGAAACATAAGCAGTGGTTTTTCCCTTTGTAAACGAACGCTATTGCTCTTAAACGATAACTGTGGATTGATGGCTACTAAAATTACTACTTCATTTGTTTCTTTTTCCTTCTTTCTTTAGACTCTTCTGCTTTGAATAGTTACAAACATCGTAAACTTCCTTATCATTCACGTCACGATTGTACTACGTGGTGTGTCATTGTGACGGAGTTAGTGGACAGACGTGTCGTTGGATGATATTGGGATGATATAAAGGTCGGCTTTAGAAACTAGCCAACTGTCCATCCTAACGCAGGGTTGATATTCCGAATATTTTTTTTTCTAAAATAAAGGCCCATATACACTCCTATGTGGATGTGTAGGTAGGCCAAAATCGCCTTCAACGAGCTTTCGAGTTACGCTAGATTCCTCCAGTGCAGAAAGTCATTCTGTTTCCTTAGAAGACGAGCTTAATAATAATTTTACAAAAGACCTTTTTTACAAAAATAAACACTTCTGCATCCGCTTCTTTTCCAAACTCAAATTCGACATGCATTTGTGCCGATGCTTGCAAAAACTGTTTTGCTTCATCTTTCGCCGAGCTTAATTTTTCGAAAATTGCAAAAATTATGAACAATGAGGTAAAGAGGTTCTGAAATTGAATGTAGTGAAAGAAAAATGAGAAAAGAAAAGTATTCAACCACAACGATGCTGCCATATTTGAAAAACTCCGGATCGCAGGTGTCTGCGGTAGGGAACGAACGAGCCACCACCCTTTCCGAGGGCTAATGCGTTCACCAGCATACCGTGAGGGTCCTTCGTTTCGCCTGTCTTTCAGCTAGAAAGGTATTCATATTTTTTTCTCGTTTTCCTAACAAATCTCTTCGTTCCATCACTAAGCGCTACGTCAAACTAAAATGCTGCACGACTTTAGCATTCCACAAATTACTGGATTCTGTGTCACTCACAAAGAAGAACAGAACTATTCGGACGTGAACCAATTTCTCAAAGCAGTAAAGTCTTCGATACCACTATTGATTACTGGGTTGACTGTTGAAATGAAATGTATTTTTACTTGACTTCACAGTAGAGCTTTCCACCGTTGTTGGACGTCTGCAGTAGGTCCTGTATACCAACGTTGTTCTGAAAAAATCAATATCGATCGATACGAACACGAAAGAACCACTTTTTCTAAGGATAGGTAATGATTATTGAGAAGTCTCTTAAATTGAGACGCAATCAGTCTTTCGACGAAAAAAGTGGATTTTAGTAAACATGTGAGAGCTTCGCTTGTTCTCCAATTTCGTTGTGACACCGACGGGACCGTACCACCACCGCACTTAAGAATGGAATTCAGCCCTTACTGAATACTGTAGACACTTTAAAATAAGTTCACGAGACATTTTTGATACTTCATTTTTTCATTCGGACAGATTAATTGAGATTTCGTCTTTTCGAAATACTCATTAAGTCACAGTATTTGCAGCTAGCAAAAACGGAAACAGGTACACTATTAAGTTCTTTCTGCTTTTTAAAATAATTCCTGCGGAAGGAACACATATAAGGGACAAAAGTCAAAAGGTTTGGCGCCGATCTATCCCTAACGAAAGAGCATCGCATTCGACTTGATCAAGCATCCTATCTGACCTATACAATGATTCGTGATAGTTTACGGATGTCCTATGACAGTGTTGTTATTCTCAAAGAGATATCTGGTACCAATTTGTCGACTCCGGAGGTAAAGAGGGTCTAGTGAGCCTGGACGTGGAAACGAACGAACGAGCCCACGTGTATTGCAGAGTACTTCTTAACACTGCGCTCACTACACGCTTCCCAGAAGGTGTATAAAGCGTATTTAACTCACAATAATGGTGTTACTCGGTTTCTGGCCATTCACTGCAAGACCGGCTGTTACTTGACCGGCAGAGTTAGCGCAGTACACCACCATATCGTCGCCCTGAAAAGCGAAAAAACTACAGATGATAAATGTGATAAAGTGTTCTCTATGTCGCATTTTATCCTCTTACTCGTTAAAGCCTATTTTACTTATAAGGGCGTTATTTTCCTGATGACAAAACATTTTGAAACAAAGAGCACTGATGAATCTTAGATGAAAACACTTTTCGTTGCGGAATTTTCCTAGAGACTTCTATTTCAATTTGAACACAACGATGAATGCGTGGGGTAGTCGACCACTGCGTTTGGGTTCGAAAAGTATCCTTTTCAAGGTTGCCCTCTAAGGTGCATGCGGCGTGTACTTGAAGCTTATTCTCTCAGCAGAGTGATCGGAGATCGACATTTCTAAATTCGGATCAAGCGAAGAGTAATCAGTACCACTCCCTGTCGTGGTAAGTTACACATAGGTGCTTCGAAAATAAAAAAGAAAGGATGAAGTTTTCGGCAACGATCAATCCTTGTGAAGTACGCCATGCATTAGAGTTCAACAACCGTCGTTAGAGACGATTGAATGAATATCTGAACTAGCCTATACAATAACTTACGGTGGTCTACCGATTTATGAAATTAGTGCTAATAGATTCGAAATAGATTTGTTGACTTCAGAGGGACAGAAGGCTTGGAGAGCTTAGGGTGCGGGATCGGACGCATGTATTCCAGGGCACCTCTAACCATTGCATACCTCCCTCCTTGAAGGAACATTGAAAATAAAGAGCACTATAAGAAAAGTATGGTGCACTGAGTATGTGCTTCGCCGAAGACAATCCGTTTCGAGACGACGGCGAAGACACAATATCGAGAAGACGAAACGAACGAGTGCAGACCATCGACTCGGATCATCGGTTTTAATGAAAACGAAGACTTTGAAGCGTTAGCCGAATAAACATCTTTGTTAGCGTCGTATTTGCCTAACATTCCCAGAAGTTACTGGTTATTACTATTGAGGTTAAATGACGGTCCGTTAGAAAAATACGATGCTCTTTGTTTTCTTCGAGCTAGCGAATCTCACTGGACGACTCTTAGGTGCTGTGGTAACAAAAACACCCTATTGATGCCAGAGTGAGTCGAACAGCTTGATAGGTGTTGTAGCTGATGTACCAAAGGCAGTAAATGTAAATGTTGGAGGCATTTCTATTAATACTAAAATCTGTTTTCATTATTCTCCATATTTCCAAGCATAAATGACCATCGGATGGAAAAGACTTCTATGATGAGTCAAGCAGGCTCTTTTTTAAAGAAATATAAAGTTAACGGCTACTACGCAACCGTAGTGGCCAAGTAGATAAAGGATAAAGGATAAACCTTTCCCAATGCATCATGCATTCGACTTCATTAAACATTTAGCTGAGATTGAATGCATAGCTGGCCTTTACAATGACTCACGGTCGCAAACCGATGTGTCGAGTCAGTGCTGCTAACCCCCAGACAAGTCTGGTGCTAATTTGCCGACCCTGGAGGGATGGAAGGTTTGGTAGGATTCCATGTGTGTGTTGCGCCCTTGTGGCCAAATGAGCACATGATAAATGAGTTGAGGTGAAAAAGTCATATAGAAATGAGCAGAAGTGCTTCTTGAATGCAATCTAGACATCTTGCAATGTTTTTCCTTGCTAATGTTTTTTTTTCGGTAGGGCCACTTACATACACATTTGCTATCCCGGAAAACCTCCCTTCCTTTGATAACTGGAATTTTTTGTCGCCACTGCCAATCGCCAAATATACGCGCCGGTGTCTACGGCAGCCAGTGCGGTTGGGAATGACGACGAACACAAACAAACTCGATCGTCGGCCTTATTGTCAAACTATTCGACAGCAAATCTTTTCTCACAAAAAAACCAAAACCTTTGGCTTCGTAGAAGAGAGATATCAATGGTAAGGTGATATGACGCAGCATTTGACGTCCATGCATCTGTTCAAGACACGCTATACATTTGACTCCAATCCTGACACCACTGTGCTGAGTTAATGGTTGTTTGACCTATATCCAATGACCTTCATGGCCTATTAATCTACCAAGCCTGTATTTTTCTCGTCTTAGAGAAGTTTAGCACAAATTTGCAGATTAGGGAAGACGAGCAGTGTCGTTGGCTGGTGCCACAGGATCGAACCAACGACCACGTGTGCATTGCACGATTCCCCGGTCATTGATTTAAAAGTTTAACAAATCAGAATTATTAAGAGGATTTCTTCCTGGTATAGGAAAATCTGTAACCCTCAAGGGTGAGGATGAAACCTGACTCAACTACCACAAACTCGAACTTACTATTCAAGACCAGTGCTGCTATCCTCCCAGACAAGTCTGGTACCAATTTGCCGACCCCGCAGGGATGGAAGGCTTGGTGAGTCATGGGTGCGGGGATCGATTTCATGTTTATGTCGCAGTGGCACCTCCAACCACTGCGCCACATGCACCTCTTTGTCAACCATAGCTTTCAACAACCTATATTCCGCTTTACCTATCGACAGAGAAAAACAAAAACAAAATTTTATGTAAAAACAGTTGTAATTGATTCTCAGGAAACAGCAAAAAGAAAAGGTTTTAGAATAGTCGTATAATAACAATAAATAAGCATAAAACATAGAATCTATGAAGAGCAAATATTCCAAGAAATAGGGACAAAATCCATATTAGGAAGAAGCAACTGATATTTTGGCTATTTTACCCGAGCTTTTCAACCTTGCTATTATTTATTCTAGTAAAAGAAATTCACCGACCATAAAGGGATCATTTGAGAATCCGACGGCAATAAATCCATCAGGTGTCGGAGGCGTGCCGGACAATTCCATGCTCAGATACGGGCCATCGACCTAAGAAAAAATTTTTGCACTATCAATGTTCGTATGTTCTTCCGGTTGAAGATTGAAAGAGGATAATAGTCAATAGATAATCTTTTACTTTTTATTTGCTGCCTTTTTTTTTTCAGAGGAGGGTATGACGTGAAATACAACGATATGATGCTGAGATATTTGCAAATCGTCGACCCAGGGCGAATTCGAACCAGTGATTACCCTTTCCGGAGGCTCACATGTTACCCAGTGCACCACTAAGCTGCTTGATTTGCTTTCATCATACTGCTTTTTTGCTTTCATCTTTTTCTTTGCTTTTTTTCTTTTTTCATTCTGCATCATAGTCGATAGATAGATTTTGCAAGAACTTCTTTTTGACATCCATTCCACGACATTCTGAATAGATAGCCAATCGATTCCGATGAAGAAAATTTTTGGGGTGCTTTTGTATTCCGTCGGACATGTCTAACATCAGTTTTCCAAACCTGCGTAGTTGGAGGGCGCAGTTAGTCCGGTCTCGGCAGCGACTATTTGGATCGCGGTGCAGCTCTGAGCAATCCACTATACGTGCTTTTATGTGGAGTAAAGGGGATCATAATGAAAAATAAAGCCAGAAACGAAATCGAACTAAGAGACTGAACGATACTGTTGAATCATTAAAACACTTCAATTCATAAAGAAACAATACCTTGAAGTCTTAACCTATGTTGAACATAAGAAAAAGTGCAGTGCTGAAAACTCCAAGATATATTGTAAACAAAATTGAATGGTGAATGACTTAAGGGAAAAACGGTCGTTTTACCTGGTAACTGAAGGCAATTTGACAATCCGTTGAGGGCTGACATCCCGGCGGTGCAAACAGGCAGCCTTTCATCGTCCCGCATGTCGAGACGCTCATTTGTGCATCGACAATCTGAACAAATACACAACCGCATGCATTGACTTCAATACGTACGTGACCGATAATGTGGTCTGCCGTCGGCAAAACCAATATATTTCAGCATATCATAGGCCATATTAGCTTAAATGAAAGCCACTAAAATTCACAGAGCTTTAAGAATAGTGCGTGGGCAGTGATTATTTACTATTGAATATTAAAAGGATTAAGTGTAAAGCTCTCGGCGCTCATCAAACCCTGAGGGATGCGCCGTGCATTCGACTTCATTAAGCATAGTTTGGAGGGATTCAATGCATATCTGATCTTTACAATGACTCATGGTTGCCTACTGGTGTATCGAGCCAGTGCTGCTATACTCCCAAACAGGTCTGGTACCAATGTGCGAACATCGGAGGGATGGAAGACTTGATAAGCCATGGGTGCGAGACCGATTCTGCGTGTGTATTGCAAGGCGCCTTCGACCACTGCGCCACACGCTTTCCTATTGATTAATTGAAGATTACAATAATAAAATTCCGATTATAACAATTGTGCTAAAATTTATTCTGTTTTTCAAGCTCACTCGGATATTTAGAACAGTCTTGATTTTCAATGATGCTGAGATATTTGCAAAACTCCGGACCGCGGATATCTGCGGTGGGGAGCGAACGCGCTATTGTCTTTCCGGGGTGTAACGCGTTCACCACCACACCATCCGAGTCCTTCATCTCGCCTGTCTGTCAGCTATTTCTATCGACCACAGCCATCAGCAATCACCCGAGACACGCATGTCATAATTACAATGAGACTTTGTTAACAAAAGAGTAACTAGTTTCCCAATTTTCTTTTTGCACTTATTCAAGAATTTTTAGCTGAAGAATTAGGTGTCCAATAATTTGAGAAAAAAACTGTCTGTAACTTAAGGTAATTCCTGCAAAATAAATTTCGAAAATTTGCAGATATTCCTAAAACCGCCTCATCGTGACTGGTACGTGTTCCTGGGTGTCAGACTGCGTTGTAAAGCGGGGATTCATCCCCTGGCAGAGTTTCCCAAGCTGAGAAGGAGTCCGGTGTTTCCATCAGGAAGCCTAGCTAAGAGTGAACTAACACCAGGATCCACCACCGTCCTGGTATCAAAGTCACATGGTAGTAAATCTCCCTCTGATACACAAGGGCTGCGACTGCATGTGGTGGTGACGACCTGGGGCAGACTTAGACCAAGCTAACTTCGGAATTCCAGGGAACCACAATGGGTTAACCAGCAAATCTCCGAAAAATGGAGGTTACGCTGGGGCTCGCACAATCAGTGAGGGCGGGTCACTCAAATATCAAGTATTTTAAAAAGTAGGCTCGAGAAGATAAGAGCTTCCGTAGGAGCTAAGCTAAGATGAGAGAATCTTAAATCATGAAGTCCTTTAAAAACGACAAAAAAGACGTTTTAGAGCGATTACGAAATATTGACGAACATTTCTTAAGAGGTTAAATGGATATTTCGGTCCACAGCATTTAACGATTTTACTTACCGAAAATATGAATGCCGACAAGACGACGACGACGAACGTCGACGACATCTAAAGAATCACTGAATCAATTGACATAGGCAGAAACAAGCCCAGAAGGCGGAAACCAATCGATACTCAGCAAACGAAAAAAACAATCGATTGATGACAGGCTGATGGTTGAAATTGATTCTAATTGACTCGATATTAATCGAAATTTACTGCTGTGATATAATTCCAGGCTGAATGCGTTTTCTGATTGAGCAACGAATTGATCAAGTAGGAAATGCTAAATAATTGTCTAATAGGCGAAAATATCTGGCTGTGGATTGTGAATTTCTCGGATTTTTTAAAGAACTATGTCATAATTACAATGATGCTGAGATATTTGCAAAACTCCGAACCGCAAGTGTCTGCGATGGGGATCGAACACACTATTACCTTTCTCGGTGCCTAACACGCTCACCACCACACCATGCGGATCCTTCGTTTTGCCTTTCTCTCAGCCATTTCTGTCGAACAGTGTCATCAGCAATCATCCGTCAACACTTCATATCATCATTCATGGTATTTGTATTGGCTTACACAACTATCACTTAACAGTATATCCTGTTAACACTGATATCGATAGACTGATAATAATAACAGCAGTAGAAATACAATGCAAAAATAACACTAAAATGAAATATGGCGTCAAATGAGACATTTCTTTGTTTCATCACATACATCTACTCTTTCACTATGTTATGATTTTTCATTCCTTTCTTTTCTATCCAATTTTACTCTTGTGTTTCCATTTTGCTTTCCTTTTCTTCATCGCTTTTCAACGCCTTTATTTAGTGTTCAACTGGAGAGTTCATCGTTCAGTTAGAACAAAAGACCATCATGGTTTTATTTCTCATACTCTTTTTTATATTTATATTTTTTTACATACTTTTTTGTATTCCTGTAGATCTTTGTAAATCCCATTTTAGTTCATTTTTATAAGGTGTCAAATTGACGTCGTCGATTATATACGAAAACAGCAAAAAAAAATTGTAATCAAGAAAAAATTGACTGAACTGGATTTTAGTTTTTTCTTTTACTTCCAAAGAAAAACTGAAGCCTTTTTTTTCATTTTTACTGAACTGAGGAGATCATTCGACTTGAAAAGAACTGGGTTGAAAGAAGATTTGGCTGATTGCCAGATCCTCCAAAATCAAATTCACCTTTGTAAAAATTGAAAAAAAATCCTAAAATTGCCTTCCCTGTAAGCCAACGAAAACAAAATTATCGTCACTTCTCAGAGTCTTAAGAAAAAGAAGGAAAAAAAAAACTAGTTGGACACAGTTGTTTACAACTGCTGTTGGAAGGTAATAGTTAGACGTGAAAATCAATGCAGAGCAGGTGAACTGAATCCAGCGAAGAAGTAAAAATCGATAGAACGATGGACGTTCTGGTAGACGTAATTTTAAAAAAACTTTGAAAAAAATCGATAAACCGTCTTTTGGATAGAAATTTTTGCTTGATCGCAAAATATAAGGCACCAGCTTTAACAATGATTAGCGACGATATTTCAGGAAGAAACATACATGGAATTATCTCCAAATCTGAAAGTGGTTGAGAATATCTCTTTAAAAAAGAAGAGATGCAAAAGACGAAGTATAGAAAAGAGTAGGAAGCCGCAATAAGTAAGGAAATACATAAGCTGCTTAGCACCTGCAGCAGATTATGTAAGGATTCACCTATTATGGAAAAATCCAGGTGCTTTGTAATAATGTGGAGGATGCAGGTTACATCTTTTCCTTTGCTGGAACCTTTCCATAATTCAAACATCTCACTGGAAAGAAAGACATCCAAAATCTCCTTTGTGACGTCCGAATATCTAACCAAATTCATCAGAAGGGCTAATTTTCTTAAACCTTGAACTTGCATGCTACATGAACTTAACTAAAAAATGTCATACCTTGAAAAGAATAGGATACCCGATTAACAGAGAAAGTGGCGAAAAGTTATTGTCAACAAGTTAGTCAAAAAATGTTATGAGATTGAAGGGATATTTCTTATTTAATAGTTATGTGTCGTTACTTCTACAAGGGCCTACTTTATAGGGAAACCTCACTAGTCTTCTTTGTTGCCTACGACAATTTCTAGCAATTCAAGTAGATATAGAAACTGCCTGCCTACAAAATCACTTTGTCCCTTCTTTCCTGCTCTTTGACTCCCACCACCACTGCTTGCGGCGAGATTCAGTTGCCGAGTTCTCCGTTTATGAGAATTACTCCTTAAGCCACTGTGATCGCCAAGTAGTTGATCTTGTCATTCCATAAAACTATTATTCTGTACTCGTTGTCCAGCACTATCGTTGAATTTAGGCAGCCCCTCATTCTTATGCAACCTTATCAATTCAACGAACCCATTTTGTAAAATTTTAAATGCTGTTTACACAAAGATTTGGTGATGCGAAGACAAAGCAGTGATTAACAATGCTGTCGAACAGAAAGGAAAAGGCGTTGGTTTGATCCTGGGCCCAACGCTCTCATCCAATCCACGTGGGACTGCCTCGCCTAGCTAACTTCAAGTTTGTAAAAGAATTGACTCGTCCAGAATTTCATGAAATTCATAGGGAAGAAGTCCTCAAGGAGCAGCTGAAACAACACGTGAAATGTTCGAAGACCTCCGCGGACGATGAGTGCAAGAAAAACGAATCGAAAACAAGAAGTGCCGGTATCCGCATAGTAGATGAGCTGATAGATCATTTAAAATAAATAAATGAGTGTCATAATCTAAGTTTGACGTCCATGTTTTCTGTGACAACATAAAGCTGCAACAAACAAAGAGCAAACATTCACCACTAGGCTCACCTTACCCAAGAACTACGACTGCATGTGTCGCTGTAACCATTTTTCGATTTTCCCTATGGATGCGATCCATACTGCTTTCACGATGAATCTCTTATCGGCGCTGTCGATTACTAGCAGATGCAACAAAACCAATTTGGGGAATTGAATAAATACTTTCCCGTAGGCACAATATCTAAGTCATAGCTTTTGTGGTAAAAATGCGGCACAGCGTTAGCCCTCATTCAAAATCTTGCTGAGTACAGAAGAGCTTCGATGGCCAAAAGAGAAAGCAGCTCGGCATTCAACACTGCTACTTCACCTAGAACATTTCCATCTGAACACGTAAACTGCTTTCTACATATATCACTTACGTTATTAAAGGATTCGTTTAGGCAAAGCCATTTTATGCTAAAGCTATTCACTGCCACATTAAACTGTTTTTTGAAGTCACTCCATTCCGATGTAGGTAATACAGGAGCTAATGCGGAACTCTAGGTAGCTTTCGCTTGTTAAGCTAGTTGTTACTTCGATTGTATTTTGCTCACATTCACTACTCAAAAAGAATTCCACAACTCTAGCCAGAAAGCTGCACCATGTGCTAAGATATTAGCCCACATCGGAATTCCTCTATTTCATCAGAAGAACAAGAAAGACGTTTTATGGAAGTATCGGGACATAAAATCAGTCCAAACCGTTTACTTCATCGAAACATGTATTGCCATTACGAACCACTAGAATACCTGACATTCGAAACGACCCGTATTTGGAAAACTGACCTGGTCAGAAGAATCAATGAGATATCGAACGTCGAGAACAACGGTCTGAACACTAGGAAGAGCTGAGTGCTCCTAACAAAGACAACCAAGGAAGAAAAAAAAAAGATGTTCAAATTGTCCCTAGCTGTTTCGATATATGGTGCTAAATCTCTTTTTGTATCGGAAACGCTCCTATCGGATCTGCTGAAAAATATGTCTAGAACTCATGAAACCAGAAGCAAGGAAAGAACAACTGGCACATGTAATGTCAAAAAAAACGCAAATGCGATACTAAATTCCACTTGTTAGAAGGAAACTATACAGTCGAATCGGAAAGTATTTGCAGGTCGTGATCATGAAGAATTTTACTCCTTATTCACTTAGAATTAGGGAAAAATCTCAAACATAAGATTTCTGGAGAAGACCAGGATCTAAAAAATAAGAAAATAATTATAAAGCTGACGCCTTCCTAAATAAAGCTTACTTTCCTTTTTCAGAAAAAAAGGAAAGAATACGAGAACAGAAAGAATAGCTCGACGTTTTTCTTCAGTAAGACGAGGTTGCTATTATAGCATTTATTAGGATACAATAGCTACGTGAAGTGCGAGCAGAATATTTCGGACCTGTAAAAGAAGTACTGTCACTAAGACAAAAAACTGTCTTAGCTAGACAAACGACACTCTTTCTCCGCCGCTACCTGAAACACCGAGTCGCGCCGAACCTCATCAAACGAAAACGACTACACGATGTATGCGGCCTACCGAGGGACAGCCAACTACTGCTGGACATCGAAACGCGACTACTACGCGCCTCTTTTCGATGCAAACAGTACACCATCTACTCGCAATTGAAGAAGTGCAAGTCGAGGGAATCTTACTGTGCTCAGTATTGAGAGGATTCTCTTTGGAGGAGAATAGTGGGTGAGTCAATTTTGATTTGTGATTCTATTAGGTCGAAGGCTGAAGTAACCTTAAGCAGAAAGTTTCAAAATTTACTAAATTATTCGCAAAAACCAGCTTCAATTAAACAAAGCAAAGTCGTTTACGAAAGCGCTAGCACTAAAAATGTGGTCGATAACGTGTCTGAAAAGCCAAGGGTCACCGTGTTAGGAGGCATAACTCTGCCTGATGGCGCACGCTCGCTATTAGAATTGGTTCCAAGTTTCTCACCAGTGCAACCCATTTCCAAAGAAACCTTGCGTAGGATCGCGTGCATCCTGCACGAGCTCCACGATTAACTCCGAAACAACGCTAGAATTGAGAAACGAAATAAAAAGGAACAATGAGAAGTAGGGGTACTACCACCATCTCTATTTCCTCGATTATTCTTTAAACAGTAAGACCCGAACGACGAAGTCGATATGAAACTTAGCATACTTTCGAGCGAGACTCTCAAAGTCCTTAACCACTATCGTGCGAAAAAGTTTAGTTCGAACCCTATAGCTGCGCAAAAATCTGGTATGCGACAGGTTCGAGAGCTAATAAAATCAAAGACT